ATTCGTGGGGCGTGGGGATGAGTGCTGCGAGTGGTGCAGACGCCGGGCCGGGTTCTGCCGGCCCAATGCTGCCGGATTCCCCTCCTGCGAGCCTGGGTTGTTCCCTGGCATTGGAGCAGGACGGTGCCGCGGCTCTGCGGGCTGTGCCTCTACCTACGCCTCGGTCCCCCCCGGCGCTGGAGGCCGTGCCGAGCTGCCTCCAACCCCTCCGCCTCGGGTTCCCGGGCATTGCCGAGCCTGTGGCTGGAGCCGGCCCTCCCCCATCACCTCCTGCGGCCATGGCAGAGCAAGGTCCTGCCCTGGTTACCACTGGCTCCGGTGGTGCTGCTGCGGGGGCGAAGCCGGTGGCCTTGACGGGCCAAGGGTCCCAGGCTGCTGGAGCCTCTTTGGCTGGCCTGTGGACTTTGTCCCCCTGTCAGATGACTGTGCAGCTGAGCGTATCAGGCATTCCATGTGCTTCCAAATGCTTTGGTCTGGTGGGTGAGGGCTTGAGTGCTCTTCTTGTGGCGTGGTTGAATACCACTGCTCAGGGCACCATTGTTCACCTAGGGGACGTTGATTCGGATTTCCTGGGGCGCATTTCTGCCATGGGTTCCACACTCACCCCTCCTGTTCCTATCCTTGCAGGACCCGGATTTGCTCACCTTGTGCCTTTTCAGTCTTGTGTTCGCAGAGCTGAGAACCAGCTGCGGGGAGATGGTGGCTTCGGGTTCCCTGGACCTCCCTGGGTCACTGGACTGCTGTTCTGACAGCTAGGGATCATCCTGAACGGGTCTGCAGCCTGTCCATCCTTGGTGAGATGCTGTCAGAGATTAGCTTCCGTGGGTTTTTGACACTGGCATGGACATCACGATTGTCAGGTTTGCTGACGGGCCCCTGGAGTGACCCTTGGACCCGATGCTGACACATTCTATGCAAAGAACTTGAGACTGACTCTGTTCAGCAGATTCTGTTGTCCTTTCTCATGACAGACTAGACACCCTCCGTGACTTGATGCAGAACAGTTGGATCACAGTGATCTGGAGCTTCGATCAATCCCTGGGACATTCCTGTTTTCTGTATCAAGAAGAAGTCTGGGAAATGGAGGTTATTGCCAGACCTCCAGAAAGTTCATGCTATGATGGAAAGCATGGGGATGTTGCAGGCTAGCATGCCTTCACCTGCCATGTTTCCTGCTGATTGGCCAGTCCTCACTGTGGATCTGAAGGATTGTTTTTTTTACAATTCCTTTGCATCCCAATGACAGACTGAAATTTGCCTTTCTGGTGCCAGCTGTCATTAATGCTGAGCCCACACAGAGGTATCAATGGAGATTTTGCTGTAAGGCTTGTGAAAATTTGCCAGCATTTGCCGATGATATGGGGCTCTAGCCCTCTCTGGAGTTTGTGAGCAGTTTCCTGCTGCTCGTCTCTACAATCTCCCTGAAATTATTTGAGGGTAAAAATAATTTTTGGGACGAAAAGTCCCGCATCTGGAGGTGCAATTATTTGTTTTGCATTCAGTGCAGATACTGCATGAATGATGTCCAGATATTAATGGACTTTTACATGGTTGTGTCCTTATATGGGACTGACCACGACACAACTGTCTCCCTTGTTTGGTCTATTAAAGGGGGACTCTGATTTAAAGTCACCTCTGACACTGACCCCACAGGCACAGTAGATGCTGGAGGAGGTTCTGTGAGCAGTTTCTACTCATCAAGTTTATTACATTAATCTTTCCATTGATGCTGCTGGTTTTTTTCATTGCCACTCCAGATTTGCACAGGTATCATTGGCCAATGAAAACACTGGAAATGTCATTGCTACCTGGAAGGATGGATCTGAGTGGCAGGTTTTAGAGAGTCATGAGGCTGGATCAGCCCAATTGATAGAATTACAGGCTGCTGACATAGCATTTCAGAAATTTTCCCAGGCACCTTTCAATTTGGCCATGGATTCTGCCTCCATGACCAAATTAGGAGCCATCCACAAGCAGGTGTTGATGTTGGACATTTGTTTCTTTTTTTTTGTTTTTGTTGTTTTTTGGGGTTTTTTTGGTTTTTTTTGTAATAACGAAAGGGTGAGATATCACCCTGAAATTACAGCCTTCTGATTGTATGGAGTATTATATTTTCCTATTATTTATCCTTTTGATTGTTTATAATGTTGCTAGTTTCTTTGTTCTTTTTTCTTTTTGTTTAAACCAAAAAGGGTGAGATGTCGCCCTGAAAACTCAGCTTCTGAGCTTGCTAACATAGTTTTCTAAGGACTTTCCCAGGACAGTAACTGTAAACATAGATATGTGTACATTCTTTCTGTTACACGTCTTGTGATGGGCATCTCTCATGGCCAGTGCAGTGAGAAAGTGTTATCCTGACCATCCAATCCCTGGCCGTGGACAGAAGCCTATAAATCCTGGGAGGAAAAATAAACTCTCTCTTCACCACACCTTGAGCTGTGTCCGTGTGATCTATTCCTCTTCAGCGGCAACAAAGCACCTGTTGCACCTATTTTTTCCAGGTATGTTCATACTGACATATTTTTAAGGATCTTTTCCCTTTACTGGACTATTTAAGTGTCAGCTTTAACTATAAAAGTTTTAAAAATAAGTTCTAAATACAATCCTGAATTTTGGGTAAGTTCATCTTCAATATTAATGTTTATCTCCTTAGAACGAGTGTGACAAGGGAGAAAACGTTTTTTTTCTTGTGGTCATACCATCATTTCAAGAGATCTAAACCCATTTTTTCCCTTGACAGACACGCATTATTTGATTTAGTTTAAGGCATTTAATTCATTGCACAGATGAAATAGCAGCTGGAAATGAAACAGATTTTTCTGGGAAAAGAAAATCTGAGTAGGTCACACTGTAAATCGTGTCCCTTCCACCACCACACCCCCAGAGTGTGATCCCACAAAGGACACTCCTCAAAAACACATTATTCACATAATTTAATGTCCAGTTAGTCCAGTCTCCATGAGGTAATTGCGATTTCCTGAATTTTTCAGTGTTGTATTAGGCCAAAAACAGACAATCAACCTGTCAGCCTGTAGGATTCCCCCACGTGTCCCTGCCATCCTGGACTAACCCTGTAGAGCTTTTCCAGCTTCCCAAAAGCTCAGTAAATCCCATCTGATGTACTTTGGCTCTTCCAGTGGTTTTCAGTAGAAGGCAGAAGCCTCATAAAGCAGTGATTTACAGTACAAGTGTGGATTTCCCTCCAAAGAGGCAGAAAAATCCTTTTTGTAGGCATTTGACACATTCACAGAAGAAATAAAACACACAAGAATACAACTCAGAGGCAAACAGCTCCAGGCTGGGCTGGACAAAGGGGATTGTGCAGCACAAAGTAAAATCTGCTGCACATCCCAAGTGCAAAAAGCTTGGATTCAACAAGCAGGGATGTGACAGAGGGAAGGTGCTGCTGGATGGATCCCTGCACCAGGAACATCCAGCCCCACTTTCTTCAGCTCCTTGGGCCCCACCATGAGGTGGCTGTGACAGGGAAAGGACCTTCCTTTCCCCAGTGCATTACTCAGGATTAAATTCTCCAGGTGAAGCCCCTAGGTGGGTTTTTTGTATAAACCA